TGGATAAAACTCTTAGCCAGGAGACATAGTCTGTCCTGTCATCGTCGATTTCTTGTATCATTGCAAAACTATGCACATAAGTTTCACGATATCACATTTCTGACAACACACGAAAGCCAGAGGTATTGCAGACAACTGGACAACGTATGCCTTACATGACCATGAGGAACGCATCACCTTAGTCGATTTAAAGAACAGCTGAACAGCATCCATAAAAATATTGAATACACCTAAAAATGGAAGATGCTGGGGCAAACGTCAATCCGTTGACGTCTAAATTCTTAAAAATGAGGGAAGCACTTGGAATCACCTTTTTTTGAAATCGACATATAATGAACGTTACATTACTTCCCTGTATTCCTGTGGATATCTTTCGTACATTGGTGAAATTACTGAAAACTGAAAATATATATAAATCGGTCTTTCGTACAAAATGCAAGTAAATTGGTCAATCGAGTGATTAGCGTTTCGACCTTCACGGTCCTTCTTCAGGTTAGTCTCGGTTAGTGACCGCCACCCTGAAGAATGTCCGTGAGAGACGATCCGAAACTTTAGAACGTCAGGCTTTTTAATAGATACAAGGCTGGAGCAATTCTAGAAACCTCGCTTCTGTGAAGTTAATGGAGAAGACACTGGTTTCTGTTTCTATGTCACCAGCCAGTATTACCTTACTTATAAATGCAGAATCAGCAGTAATTATGTGACAAGCGTAGTTTGTCTTCTCCTGTTTCAATCCAACTCGTTCATCAGCAGGGGATCTAACCCCAGATCTTTCGGTTTGGAATCCAACGCTCTAGCGATCAAGTAATCCCCGTTTGACGCAACGTATGGCAATTTCTTTGCTCAAAGGAATTCGTGGCAAAGATCTTCCGCCGTAGGAATCGAACTCGGTACCGCCGGGGTTCGAGTTCGAAGCTGACCCCTTCTACGCACTGTGCCACAGTGCAACGTTACTCTTTGGCAGCGTGCAGCATAATAAGGAAGGACAACGTAATAGATCTTGTTTAGGCGATTTCGTATTTGAGAAACCTAATCAAAGGGATTAAACGTTTTAGAACTTGGTACAGTGTCAGAATGATTTATAACTCATCGTACGGTTTGAGTGTTCTGTTTAATTAGAAAGGGTTGCTGATAGCAGCAGGTGAGGAAGGTTGCTCATCGCACTGACTGAATATTACCAATCATTTAGGTTAGAAAATAGAAAGGTTGAGGATAAGAGAACATGTGGCGCATCACAGCGCAACAGAAGAGAGGGGTTTTATTGCAAAACAACATTCTTGTCCAGTGGAATTGAACTGGTATAATCTAGGAGAATTTAATTGTGGAAAGCTAAGCAAACTGTCGCAGTCAAACAAACGCATATGAAGCTACAAAATTTGTTATTTAGGTCATTCTTTCCAAGAAAAAATAAAATTTCTCTCCCGACGAAATGATTTGAATGCCGTCGCCTTTATTACTCCAAACAGAAGGTCTGATGGAAGTTGTCTTAAGTTCTACCAAGTGACTAACAGACAGTGGCCAAAACGGGATGAAACCGTGGATTGGGCGCAAGACCGCAAGTCAGGGTCAAGAATACGAAGATTATAACGACACGCGTTGTGACTATTAGCCAGAGGATTCTATAATAAAAGACGAGGTTAAAAATTTAAGTTCGTCGGAACTGTTACCCTGAAGTGAACTGGCGTATTGATCTTGCATAAGCAAATTACGGCAAACTGCATAGAAAGATTGAGGAAAGGTATAAATGATACAAAAGTAACCATCCTGACTCACGAAGAGCCGCATTCATGGTGCTCATGAACAGTCTTGAAATATTTTGCCATGCTGAAGCGTCAGGAAGTTCTTCTAACAGCTTTCATAAGCGCTCTCTGCGCAATATTTCCAAAGTGCGATGGTACCTTAGCGCCAAGAATGAGTTGATGCTAGCTATCACAGCTCTGAAAAATTGCAATATGATCCAAACATTCCTCATTAGGAACCATGCGTTGGTCATAGACGTGTCATGCAAAAGCTAGAACATCGCGAAAAAAATAAAATTTTTGTCATAGCAGTAAACAATACCATATATCAATCTGAAGTAAAATTTTAACAGTCAGAAATAGTAATACGTTACTCTGCTGTTTAAGATCAATTAACCTCAAATAGAGGTCAATGAAAAACAACGACACCTTGTGATGTCTACTCTCTCAACAGATAATGATAATTCTAAAGCAACTAGTCAAAAAATTGGCAATGCCTGATAAATCATATGAGGTATTGCAATTATTATTT